AAGAAATGATGGCTGGGCGTGGTGGCACATGCGTTTGGTCCCAGCTACTCGGAAGGCTGAGGTGGGAGGATCACTTAAGCCCGGAGGCTGAGGCTGCAGTGAGCTGTGATTGTGCCAGTGCACTCCAGCCTGGGTGACAGAGTGAGACCCCCATCTCTAAAAAGAAAACTTAGAGATGCTGCCTCCTTCTTTGGTCTGGCAGGAGGACGTTACCAGATGATTGAAGCTGGACGCACCAGTTCCCAAGAGTTAGTTTGACTCTGGAGTTCAAGTGCAGGGCAGATGGGTGGGGCTTTGATATGTGGCCAGTGGGAGCCACAGAAGGTGCTAGAAGCACAGCAGTGTACCGGCTTTGGTTAAGTTTTGTGGAGGACGGACATGGGAGTGGGAAGTTGTAGGTTTGGCAGAGGCTCCTCGGTCAGGCCCTCCTGTATCCCTTCTGTCACCCGGAGTCCGTTGCAGCCCTGTGGGATTGGTGGCATGACCTAATGGCTTGGAGGGGTCACTGAAGTTCAGCTGTCTCCCAGTCAAGGCCACACACTGAGCCACGGCACAGCTGGGTTCAAACCCAGGCCCACAGTCTCTATCTGTGAATTTCTGCCTCCGGGCAACTAGTCTTGGGGTGTAATCCCCATTTCAGAAACCCTAGCTGGCTGTCCAAAGAGGGAGGCTGGCTGAACACCCCGCTGCCCGTGCTGGCCACCCCCTAGCCTTCCTGGATTGAAAGCCCAGCTCCTGGCCGGCGCGGTGGCTCACGACTGTAATCCCAGCTCTTTGGGAGGCCGAGGCGGGTGGATCACGAGATCAGGAGATTGGGACGATCCTAGCTAATACGGTGAAACCCCGTCTGTACTAAAAATACAAAAAATTAGTCGGGCGAGGTGGCGGGCGCCTGTGGTCCCAGCTACTTGGGAGGCTGAGGCAGGAAAATGGCGTGAACCCGGGAGGCGGAGCTTGCAGTGAGCGGAGATCGCGCCACAGCACTCCAGCCTGGGCGACAGGGCGAGACTCCGTCTCAGAAAAAAAAAAAAAAAGAAGGCCCAGCTCCTCCCACCCCCCACCACCCCCGGCCTACCCTCGTGTTCACCAGCTGCTGTGGCTGCTCCCACCCTGGTGTTGTTTGGGTTTTAATTTTTGTGTTGCATTTAGAAAATTACCCATAATTACAGCTTCTGAGAGGAAACGGTCTCCTAGCACAGACCCGGCTCCCAGCTGTGGCCGCCTCCCACGCACGGCTGGGGAGGGGTTGCAGGGGCCGCCAGCCCCGGTCCTGGCCCCTCCCAGGGCCCCCCACTTTAATGAGGAGGAGGGAGGGAGGCCGCTTCCGCCACCTATGGAGAGGAAAAACCACCAGCAGGAAAACCCAACCCGGCCTCCTCTGCGGGAATCGGGAGTGCTCGTGGGCCCCCCACTGCTGTGTCCTCAAGGAGACAGGACCCAGAGGAAGGCGGAGGCGGCCAACTGAGGACGGGATGCGTTATTTCATCTGAATACTGCCAAGTCCAACTAGGGACTGTGCGGAAACAGTCTTGTGGGGGCAGTGCCCAGGGAAGGCTTGGAGGAGGAGGAGGCAGAGGAAGAGGAGGAGGAAGAGGAGGAGTTGGCCTTCTCCACCAGGAGGACCAAGGAGGAACCCTTGGCCAAAGGAGGAGCCTCAGTAGGCCAGGCCAGAAGCCAGAGAAACAGCGTTCCAGGCGGCAGGAACCGCTAGCGCAAAGGCTTGTGGGTGGGACTGTGCAGGGTGGATCCAGGGTGAGGGCAAAGTCGGCCCCTTCTTCCGGCAACCCCCCTGTCCTAAAAGCAGATTCTCCTTAGGGGCTCCTCCAGGCACAGGCCCTGATCCGTATTTAGGGGACATCTGTGGTGGCTGACTCACCACTGTCCACCCCAAGAAGCACAGACCCAGCCAAGGACCTGCCCTGGCCCCCTGTCTACCTGAGCCCTTTACTGGGGCAACCTCCCTGCCCACCCTGTGCCACCCTGATCTCACTGGCAACCCCACGGAGCTTCTTAGATGTTTTTAATTTTTAGTAAGGGTCTTCCTCTGTCGCCCAGGCTTAAGTGCAGTGACACGATCACAGCTCACTGCAGCCTTCACCTGCTGGGTTCAAGCCATCCTCCCGTCTCGGCCTCCGAAGTGCTGGGACTACAGGCACACGCTGCCACCATGTGCGACCTCCCATGGAGCTTCTTAAAATCCCATCCTCTTCTCGCCGTTCCACACCCTTCCATGGCTCCCTATTGCTCTTAGAAAAAAATCTCACCCCCTCCCCGCTGGGCGTGGTCTAGCTCTCTGCGTTCCCTGCTATCATCCCCCTCTTCTTCCCACTGCTCCTGCCACGGCTGCCTCCTGGCCCTGCCTCCTGCCTCCAGCGCCTTCGCCATGTGCCCACCTCAGGGCCTAAGCACTTGCTGTGACTACAGTCTGAATATTCCACTTCCAGGTCTTTCAAATCCACCCCCCCTCCCCGTTATTAATTTTTCCTCCCCGCCCTGCCCGGCCTTTGCGTGGGTGAGGGGGCCCTTTCTGCCGGTTCTGCCCCCGCAAGGCGTGCGCCCTGGTTGGGAGTGAGCGCGGCTCAGCCTCCCCGACGCCGCGTGGGACCCAGGGCCCGCTACCCTCGCACTTTCCCGCCGGCGCCCAGGCTGTGTTTGGAGATCCTTCCCAGTTGCCATGAGAACCGCGCTCCTCGCTCCCGCCCTCCGCGCCTCCCCCATCGCAACTCTCTGGGCCGCCGGCGCCTCCGCCTCCCTCCCTCCTTCCCTCCCTCCCTCCGCCTCCGCCCTCCCCCGGGAGCCCGGCCGACCCTGCCGTCGCCCGTCCTGTCACCAGGGGTCCCCTCCCTCTTACGCACGTGGCACTCCCTGAAATTGCCCCAACTGACTCGCCAGCTTTTGACTGTCCACCTCCCCCATCAGATTCTGGGCTCTAAAAGGCAGCAACGTGTACCGGCTGGGTCTCCGGAGCCCAGCACACAGAAGGCGCTCAATGCATGTTTAATGGGGTGAAGACTCACATTGGCCCAAGGAACCGTGGCTCACGGGGCGAGGGACCCCACCGGGGCACACGGGGCCCTGGTGAGCCACGGAGCTTTGGGAGGTTAAATTCGGGGTGCCAGGAGGGGCATCTGCCGGGCCTGGGAGCCCCGACTGACACCAAGGCTCTGTGTGACTTTGGGTGAGCCACACCCTCTCTGTGCTTCATTAGGGGTAGGCGCTGGGTGGGCAGTGGTGGGGGCGGTCTTTAGGATGAGAGTGACCTGGACGCCGAAGCCCATGCTTCCCGTGGCCCCCCAGGCTCCGGGCCGTCGCCAGCCCGAGGCCCTGCGGAATTGTGCGAGCCCCTCCTTACCGCAGCCGGGGCCCGGAGGCCCGCTGGAGAGGAAGCTGGGGGAGGGGGCGGCCGGCTGGACAGGAAGTGAGAAGGGCTGGCGTCCCCCCTCCCGCGCCGAGGCCCCTCGGGGAGGAGGCGGGGCTGGGGCCGGCCCTGCCCTTCCCTTCCTCTCCGCGGGTCTGGAGCCCCAGCGGCTCGCGACTTCCCGCCGGCCAGAAGGCTTGGGGTGGGGGCGGAAGGGTTCTCACGTACTGGGGGGCCGGCCTCTATCGGGGAGGCATCTGGGGGTCAGCTGACAGCGAGAGACGTCCACACATTCACACACAAACACACACACGAAACATGAGCGCACAGCCACACACAGGTCCCAGGGAGCTGGCGGCCTACCCACGCGCGGAGGCACACACGTGCACATTCGGCACACATTTGTGCACACAACCTCACTGGGCAGCTTGGCCCGACTCGGACCCATAACTGCCACCGCGCACCCAGGGACAGTCGCCGAGACAGCGATCACTTACTGGGTGTTTGCCAGCTCCCCACGCACAAGGATGCACACGTGCACTCACACAGGAGCCGCGTGTTAGCACACACATAGAAAAAAAAAGGAATAGCCGTGGCAAACACAGAAACATCTAGACCTAAAGTCAACTGCACCGCCTTCCCGTACCCTGCCTGTCCACACACGACCCATTGGTACGCGGACACCCGTGCCCTGCGGGGGTCCCTGCCTCAGTATCCGCCCCCACTCTCTCTGAACACCCTTGGTGGGGGGATGAAGGGTCCTAGAAGGGGAAAAGGGCACCCACTGCCTGCACCCTGACTCCCGCAGACAAAGGTGGGATGCGTCCCATTTACAGCTCACAGCACCGAGGCAGAGAAGCCCAAACCCAGCACCTAGTATTGTAACCGGGTGTTATTTGAGGGTGGTGCCGGGTGGCTCCCACAACCTGGGTATTATAGGAACTTTGTTTCTGTGTGTCTGGATTGTGTCTGTGTTGTGTGACTTCGGGCGGGAGGCTGAGTGCCCGCAGGCCCTGTGACTCTGGAGCTAGGTAGGGTGTGGTTCTCAGGAGGCCGCAATAGTGCGCCCCAAGGTGACTGTGAGTTAACGGCGTGGGCTCTGTCCACGGCTGTTGGAAGCTGTGGCATGGCCTTGCATAAGCGTGCTTCTGCGTGAGGCTGGGTGCCTGCGTGCGGTGGCCTGTGTTTAGTTGTTCCAGGACGGCCACTGTGAGCTGGGTGTGTGGCAGTGTATGTGTGTCGCTGGGCGGGCTGTGTGTGCGGTGGTTCCCACCCGTGCTGAGTGTGGGTAGCTCTGCAGGGTGAGACACCCAGTGTCACTGCCTGAGGCTTTATGGGGCTATCCGCAGTCGTTCCAGCAGCGGGGTATACTTTTGTTGTGTAAAGCGCTATGTTAAGTGTCGCTGCAAATGTGTGTGGCTGGGTGTACAATTTGGGTGGCTGGCTCCATGAGGTGAGTGAACGTGTGCTCGCGCGCGTGTGCAGCCGCGATCAGCTGTGCGTCCCTGGGTGGCCGTCCCCGATCCTGACCCGCGAGTGTGTAGCCGCGCCCCCACCCCCTGCAATGGGCACTGCGCGTGCGCGCTTGGCCCGCGGTCCCGGCGGCGGGACCCACCCGCGCGCCCGCCATCGCCCCTTTAAGAGCGGCGCCCGCGGGCGGCGGGGAGGCAGCGGGCGGGGGCGCGCGCGGCGGGAGGAGGGGAGCGCGCGTTTCCCGGAACAGCCCGCGCGGAGGAAAGGGAGGAAAAAAAAGCCACCCTGCGGCCGGGGCCGGAGCTGGAGCCGCCGCTGCCGCCGCCGCTGCAGCCGTCTGGAGCTCCCCCGCGCGGACGATGCCCGCGGTGCCCGCCCGGGGCTCGGGGCGGTGAGGCCCGGGGCGCGGGGTAGCTATGGCGACGGCGAGCGCGGCCCGCGGCGCCGCCTGACAGGTGTGGGCCCCGGCGGCGGCGGCGCGGAGCAGCATGTACGCCAAGGGGGGCAAGGGTTCGGCCGTGCCCTCCGACAGCCAAGCCCGCGAGAAGTGAGTGCGGGGCCGGGGCCGGGGGCGGGGCTCGGCGTCCGCGCTCTTCCGTGGGCTCCGGCGCGGGCGGGCACCGCGCGGGGCACGTGGGCGCGGGCGGCGGGGAGCGCGGAACCTGAGCGCGCTCGAGGGGTCGCGAGATTGGCGGGGCCGCGCGACCCCCGAGGGGCAAGAGATTGGCGGGGGGCGCGCAAGACCCCGAGGGGTCACCGGAGTTGAGGGGTGACGGGCGACCCGAGGGGCGCTAGACGGGAGTGAACGGGTGAGACCCTAGCGGCTCCAGGGGTCGCGAGATTGGCGGGGGTGCGCGAAACCCGAGGGCGCGAGATTTGAGGGGGCGCGCGAGATCCCCGAGCGGGACTCGGGGGTCGCGAGGCCTCCCCGAGACGTGGGTGCCCGAGGCTGCGGACGCACGGGGATCGAGGTCGGCGAAGTTTTCCGGAAAGAGCGAGAGTGTCGGCTCGGGGACCCCGGGCGCCTGGGGAAGACCTGGAGGGCGGCTGGAGGGGCGCGCGGCCACCTGTCTGCCCTGGCCCCAGCAGCTGTGTGGGGCCCCTGGGGAAGCCGCACGGTTCACAGTCCGGGGGCGGGTGGGGACGACGGAGCCCTTCTCTTGATACCACCGAAGAGTGCATACTTGAGGGCCCCTCTTTTCTGGGCGTGGCTCCAGGCGGTGGGTACCAGGCGCTCTCAAGCTGGTAGGGGCAGGTTCCACTGTGCGGATGGAGGAAGGGTGGTGGTGGGGCTGAGGTCTCTCGGGGTGGGGAGGCAGCCGAGTGTGCTCTCCGGGTGGAGAGCATTTGAAAGGTGCTTGGAGCTGTGACCGTCCCGCAGGAAGGGCACGGGGCAGTTTGCAGTGTTGGTGAAATTGCCCAGAGGCCGGGCGTGGTGGCCCACACCTGCAATCCCAGCACTTTGGGAGGCTGAGGTGGTCGAGAGATCGAGACCATCCTGGCCAACATGGTGAAACCCTGTCTCTACTAAAAATACAAAAATTAGCTGGGCGTGGGCGCCTGTAGTCCCAGCTACTGGGGAGGCTGAGGCAGAAGAATCGCTTGAACCCGGGACTCAGAGGTTACAGTGAGCCGAGATCACACCACTGCACTCCAGCCTGGCAACAGAGTCTGACTCTGTCTCAAAAAAAATAAAAAAAAAAGTGCCCAGGAGGAGGGGAGTCTTGTCATAGCTGATGGTGGACTTGCAGGATCCTTGAAGTTGAGCCACCTGGAGTGACCCGGGGTGTGGAACTGGCCACCCAAGCAGAGAGGAGGCTGGGTCAGCAGGGAGGGGTCCCATGAGGACCCGCCTTGAGGGCCAGGCCAGGAGGGAGGAGCCCCGGACGTTGGCTGAGTGTCCCCGTCCTACCTCTTCTGCCTAGGCTGACTTGGGATACCCCACCCCTCCACAAAGATGCCTGTCCCCTCTGCCCAGCCTCTGGGTCATTTTGGAGAAGAGGCTGTTCTGGCCAGAAGGTGGTAGGCAAATGGCTGCACCATCAGGCCTCCCTTGTGTGTGTGCAGTTAGGAAGATGAGCTCCGTTTCCAAGCACCCTCAAACCCAAAGACTTTTCGAAACTGGCCTCTGGCTCCTGCTCAGGTTGGAAGTAGGAGGTGTCTGCCATGGTCACCCCGGACCCCTGGTCTGTCTCCTGTGTGTCTCCAGCCAGCTGCTGGCTCTGGAGGCGACCACCCACCCAGTGGGAATCAGGATCGTTCACTGGTTCAGCATATCTGCCCTGGGTGTCCCAGGGTGTGGCAGTCGGGAAGGCAGGGTCTGGTCGGGATGGCAGGGTCAGTGGCCCTGAAGAAGCCCCCACCCCAGCAGGGAGGCAGGTATCCAGTTACCAGGAGAAAGCAAAGTGGGTGATATATAGTGAAGGGTGAGGGGATGTCAGGTGGAGGGCACGGCAAGTGCAAAGGCCCTGAGGTGGGACCAGGAAAAGGAGCTGAGGTTGGGCCCAGGTGTAGGAAGAGGCAGCCTGCAAGAGTGCCAGATGGGCCACAGTTGGTTGTGTGTGCAGAAGTGTGCTCTGGCTCCCAGGTGGAGTGGGGCTTGGAGGGGTCAGGAACAGAGGCTGGGAGTCCCTGGGGATGTGGACACAGTTGTCTCAAAGACAGCTGGGGAGGCCGGGCATGGTGGCTCACGCCTATAATCATCCCAGCACTTTGGGAGGCTAAGGTGGGTGGATCACTTGACGTCAGGAGTTCGAGACCAACCTGGCCAACATGATGAAACCCAGTCTCTACTAAAAATACAAAAATTAGCCGGGCGTGGTGGCGGGTGCCTGTAATCTCAGCTACTCTGGAGGCTGAGGTGAAAGGATCACTTGAACCTGGGATGCAGAGGTTGCAGTGAGTTGAGATCATGCCACTGCCCTCCAGCCTGGGTGACAGGGCGAGACTCCATCTCAAAAAGAAAAAAAAAAAGAAAAAAAAACGGTGAAAGAGAGCTGATGGCAGCCTGGACCCAAGTAAGAAGGAAGAGATTTCACAGATTTGAGCTGGGAGTGGTAGGGTAAGGGGTTTAGCTGCATTCCTGGCCCCCTTCCCTTACTGTCCTCCCACCCCCCAACCTGCCCAGCAGAGGTGCTCTGGGGACACTGGTCTGGGGACTCAAGGCTCTCGGAAGTCCCTCAGCTGCCAGTGGGGAGGCTGCGGGGCCCTTCTTTGGCCAGAGCCAGCCCGTGTGCTTCCATTTCACGGAGAGGGTCTCGTGTAAGTGTGGTTTGGAGGTGAGGTTCCGCTATCAAAGAAAGCCTGGAGAACACCAGATGGCTGCATCCCCCCATTTCACCGAAAGGGACACCAGGGCCCTGGAGAGGAAGCCACCTGATGAGGACTCAGCTTCTCTGGCACAGATGAGCTCTAAGAGGCAGCCCCAGGCCTCAGTTTCCTCATCTGAAATGTGGGCGACCCGTCTTTCAGGATCTTTGCAAGGACTGGGTAGGAGCCCGTAGGTGGAGCACCCACTGGTGCAGCCACTCGGCTCTCAGGAAGTATCCACCACAGGCGAGCCACTTCCTGCTTCTGGGCCTCGGTTTTCTCCTCTGTGAAATGGGGTGAAGGGGTCACACTGCTCCAAACCTTGACTCTGCAGCACTGCACTTTTCTTCCTGCACTGAGCCTCATGCCTCCTTCCTTCTCTCTCTGGCCCCAATCCTGAGCCCCTTCTGGCTGCCCTTGGAGCCTACAGGCCTTCCCGGCTCACACGAGGTCTCGGCCAGCTGGCTCCAGGAAGGGACTGAGCACCTGGTGGGTGCCTGCCCTCGGGGGCTTGCAGCAGATGGTGGTGACTGCGGAGTACGGGGGCAGCAGAGTGGGCCAAGGGAGGCTGGGGTCTGAATAGGCCACCCGCAACAAGAGTGGGGTGTGTATATCCTTCAACACTCAAGCGCTGCCAGGCAGGTTGAGAAGAGGTCCATGAATCACAGCCATGGTTGGTGTCGCCTGGCAGCCCATGGGCTTCTCCCAGGCTTGATTTTGACCCAGCACATGGATGCCGGTGGCTTGTTCATCAGCCTGGCAGGAAAGCCAGGGATGGGATTCACAATTGGACATGGTCATTTTGGCCGCTGGCTGGAAATGGCTATGAGGGGCAGGTGTGGAGGGTAGTAAGGAGAGGCTGCCACTTTGCCAAGAAGCTGCCAAAGGCCCGGCCTTTAGGGTTGGCACAGGGGAGGGAGAATGGCAAGGGTTGGAGGGTCCCTTTGGGGACAGCAGTGAGACCTGGTGACAGATGGCACGGTGACAGAAAGCCGTAAGTGGCAGGTGTCTCCTGTCCCAGCAGCGTCTGTGTTCAGGAGGGCGCTGAGCAGGGAGCACCCATTGTGGCCATTCTCGGTAATTATGGTAACTCGCGTCATTATGGAGGTAGCTGTGGTATATTTCAGGCCACCAGGCGCTAGCTAGCACCCCATCCTGGCTCTGCTTCCCTGTGTAGCCTCATGCTCGCGCCAGGTCCAGGCACCCCATGTCCTCCGGGTCTTGTGTTCTTTCTGCAGGGAGGGCTGCCTGCTGCTCTTCCGGGTGCCTCCCCGTGTTCGTTTCTGGCCACCTGCCCGTGTGGCACAGGGAGCCCTCGTAGGCGGCAGGCCCTGAGAGGTTGTGCCGACCCAGGGCAAGTGGCCCGTAGGGGGCACAGGTGATTTGCATCCAGAGCCCTTCCCTATAACTGAGCTCAGGGCCCCAACCGGTGGCGCCCCCAGACCTGGTCCCCAAAGCCGTCCTCTGGGAGGGGAGGGCTTTGTAGGTCCCAAAACTCCCTGGCCGAACAGCCAGGCTTCAAAACTTTTCACACAAAACAATAACAACCCACAGTTCTTCCCTGGAGACTGAATCCTGTTTCAAATAAAAGGACTAATGTGGAAGGGAAATCAGCGAAGTCAGAAACTTCCTCTGGCCTCCCATCGCTCCCAGGAGAAATTCCCAAATCCTCAGTGTGGACAGAATAGCTGCTGGCCTTCATCAGTGCTTACCCCATGGCTCGCCTGATCCTCCCGGCATCCCAGGAGGGGGTCCCCGGGCCGGTTTGTTCATTCACTGGGGTGACTCGGGGCCCAGGATGCCCAGCTCCATTGTAAGGGCGTCACAGTGAGCGGACTCCGAGTCCCCACCCCGCCTGAAGCCACATTCCATCGGGGGCGAAGACAGAGACTCTCAGAGGGGGAGACGGAGCAGGGTGTGGGCTTCCATGTGACAGGGAAGCCCCTGATAGGTGACACTGGATCTCTGGGCGGAAGTGCCCTAGGCAGGGAAACGGTGCGCAGAGGCCCTGGGGTGGCAGAGCAGCCAGTGTGTGGGTTGGGGGGAGGCAGCGCACAGGAGGGTTTGCACAAGGAACGTGGGGGTTGGGGGAGCAGTGCCTGGAGGGGACTCTGTCATAATCCAGGTGGGAGACGGTGGGTGGCCTGCCTCAGGTGTGCAGTGGAGGTGGGGAGAGGGGCCTGAATCTGATTTCCTTCAGTGTTTTTTTAAATGCAGTGATGTTTGGGGACAGCTGGGTGGATCTCATGCAGGTGCACGCCTGTGCACACACCACCAGAGGCTCCTTGGATGGGATGTGTATGTAAAGGCCAAGCTGAAGGGATGGGGGCTCAGGGTGTCGAGGCTGGGTCAGTGGATCAGTGGATCCCAAGTGTGGGGAAGGTCAGGCCATAGCATCCTCTGGACAGCCCCTACTTGAAGGCATCATCAAAACAGGACGGGTGGCCGCACAGGGAGAGCAGAGGAGAGGACAGAGCTGGTAGCCAACGGGGCTGGAGGCAGGAGGACAGCAGAAGAGGGCGGGGTGGGCTCTGGGGGGGCCACCTCCTGGGTTAGGTGCTCATGGGGACAGTCAGGGAATGGGAGACAAGGCAGGTAGAACCCTTGGCAGCCCCCTCTTCAGGACTCCCCCTGGGCCTCTTGGACAGCCGTGCCCTGGGTGTGGGGTACTCAGAATGCAGCCTGTGCAGGATCTCCCGCTGCCCCCGCCCTCCTGGGGCAGCTCACCAGCGTTCCCACAACTCTGTCTTACCCCACTCTGGCGTTTCATGCCCCCTGCTCTGACCCCCAAGTGGCTGGGGTGGGAACTCCCTTCCGCACCTGGTGGGTGAGTTGGCATTGGGCTCCCCAGGCTGGTCGGTCTGCCCCTTGAACCTGCCCAGTCTGGCCTTGTGTGTTCCCCTTCCACTGATGGACGCAGGCCTCTCAGCCACTAGCCACAGGGAAAGGCTCAGAAGCCTCTAGATGGGCCAAGGTGCCACAGAAGTGAGCTAGATAGGCGGGCGTGCAGGCCGTGGGGCCAGGAAAGTGGAGGAAGAGCTGGTGTGGGAGACTGGAGGGGTGTGAGGTCAGGATCTAGCAGGATCTGGGCTGGGGGCACTCTCGAAGAGTGGTGTGATGATGCAGGGCTGACCACTGGGCGCTGTGTGTCCCGCCTTATCCCTGCTCCTGGGGTGGCCTTCACAGCTCACATGGTACAGTGTGAGCCTGGTGCACCCCGCCCTGGGCCGCCTCCCCTCCCTGATGCCGTGCCACTTGCCTTTCCGTAGCCTCAGCGTCTTCCAGCCTGCCACAGAGCTCACCTCTCTTGACAGGTATTGCCTGTCTCTGTCTCTCCCCTCAAGAACGTGGCCTCCAGGACGGGCTGGGGGTGTGCATTGCTCAAAAGGCACTTCATGGATGCTGGAGGAACTAATGAAGAAGTGAATGAATGAAGGAGGGGAGGCAGGATAAGATCTGGGGCAAGGGCAGTGCCCTTGAAAACCAGGTGGGGGCAGGAAGTCCTCACGTTCTCTAGGGGCCGGGGCAGGAACCAGAGGGTTGGAAGTCTGAAAGGGACCTGGGGGACATGATAGGTGGTGGGTGCTGGGATTGGAGCAGCCTGACTGAGAGGGAGCAGAGTGTGAGTCAAAGGAAGGTTATTTTAGGATGGGGCCGGCAGCCAGAGAGGGCGGCGCAGCTGAGCCGGAGGCGGCTGGAAGGGCCCCCAGGCCTTCCTGCTTCTCGCCTCTAGGGCTCAGCCTCAGGCTGGCCCTCTGGTACCCTGTCTTGAATCCAAGAGTGCCCCAACCCCCAGCAGACCCTCGTGGGTCCCTAGCTGGGCAGTACAAGAACTCTGAGAGGGGGCGGCTCATTCCAGGGAGGTCCAGAAGGGCTGGTACCACAGAACTGGGCGCCCCTTTGGATGAGGGCTTTGTCCTCTGCTGTCTGGTGTGGCAGCTGGACTGGAGTGGGGTGGACAGTCCGGCCTCTCCCTGACCTGCAGAGGGCCGTGCTGGAGCCACCTGGCTGGGCGAGGATGGCCCAGGTCCAAGCTCTTGGGGTATGCAGTGGTTGAGAGGGTGAGTCCAGGGGTCCCTGGCAGGCTGGGGACTTGTGCAGAGCCCTGTGGGCGTTTGGGTAGGGTGGCACCACTGCAGACGTGGCACTGCGGGCCCTACCTCCCCTGGCCCCCCACCTCCATTCCCCACACACTGCCCCAGGGTCAGCACTGACTGGGGACAGTCTGCAGGAAGGGTTGAGGCCACCACAGTGGATGGGCAGCGACCCTAAGGAAGAGATGGGGTCCAGGGAATGGGGGGGATGTCAGGGGGAGGGCCCCTTCCCTCCTTCCGTCCTGGGCCGGGAAGGTTGGGGATGAGTTTGGGTGTGGGCCCTGAGCACACTACATGGCCCAGGGTGCCCACTGGTCGTACCCACCCCGCACATACTCGGGAATGACACTCCTCTGTGGAGAAGTCCTCCCCAGCACGGAGGCCTCTCTGAAGTCACAGTGCTGGCAGGACAGGGCAAGGAGTTGGTCCTCGAGGGAGTGCGGAACACAGCGGAATTCGGCCTGGAATTGGGGGTCAGGGATGCCTGGGAGGGGCCTGTAGGACGTGGATGGATAACTATGAGCTGTCCCTGCTGAGCAGCTGGTGGGGAGGCCATCTTTCCACCCGCCCTCCTGAGAGGTGGAAGGGCTTTGGGGCGGGCCTTTGCCTTGGAGAGCCTGAGCCCCCTGGACCACCTTGCCCCCACAGGTTGGCGCTATACGTCTATGAGTACCTGCTGCACATCGGTGCCCAGAAGTCAGCCCAGACCTTCCTGTCTGAGGTAAGCCGCTGCCTCCAGCCTGGCCCTCCCTCCCCACCCACACCCCAGGGGCCTCCTCCATTTCCACTGGGGACCCAGGGGGTGGGCCCGCGTTGCCACTCTGATGGCCCTGGGAACTGAGGATTCGGCAGGGTCCGGGCCGGGCTGGCATCCAGGCATCTGGTCCACATGCCCAGTCGGGACCTGCCACACATCCTGGGGCCCTCTGCCCACCCAGTTACCCTTCCCTCCCCACTCCATCCCTGCCCAGATATTCTCTGGGCACCCTGCTGCGTGGTGGCACAAGGTCAGGTAGGGCCACCCCCTCATCACCTTCCTTTCCCTGCAGATCCGATGGGAGAAGAACATCACGCTGGGGGAGCCCCCCGGGTTCCTGCACTCCTGGTGGTGGTGCGTGCTGGGCTGCTGTGGGTGGACTGTGGAAGGGGGTTGAGGGGGTCACGTGGAGCAACCGTCTACCCCTGCCGCCCACAGTGTGTTCTGGGATCTGTACTGTGCAGCGCCTGACCGGAGAGAGGCCTGCGAGCACTCCGGCGAGGCCAAGGCCTTCCAGGACTATGTGAGTCCCAGCCCCAGGGACTCGGGGACTCCAGGGTGGGAGGTCTGCTGGGCCTGTGGCTGGGTGGCTGGGGAGGTGGGGTGGGGGCTGCACAGCTAGAGGAGGGCTGGGAATGGTGGTAGTTGGCGTTGACAGGAAGAGCTGCCGCTGCCACTCAGGCTCTTGGCCACTTCTGGGGGTCCCTCCACCCTCCCCTTGGTCCAGGGTCATTCACAGAGTAAGGGAAAGCTCTTTTCACTGCACCACGCTTCTGAGGGTCCCCACAGCCCTCCCACCCTCCTCGGGGTACTGGGTGGGTGCCATTTCCCCGCCCCTCCTGTGAGCCTGCCTAGAGATGGGGGAAGCTCACTGCCTTCCTCCTCCTTTGCCGTATGTGCGTTGGGGGTCACTGCTGCTCCTCTGAGTGGGGAGCCCCGGTGGGGGTGCCTGATGGGCCAGGCACTAGGACAGTTTCTGACCTTGCCGGGTACTTGGAGCTGCCCACTCCCTCTCTGCTGTCATTTTCCTTCTGGGTTAGAAAAGGTCAGAGGCCTGCCTGGAGTAGAGGCTCTGCCTGGCTAACACCAGGGGATGGCAGCCTCCTGTTGTCATGGGGCAGCAGATGGCAGCCCTTCCCTTCATCCTGTGCGCTGGGCCACCTGGCCCCCTCTGTTGGGTCTGAGGGGGAGGTGCCGGCTCTGCCGGTGGGCGGCTGGGGGACGCCAGTCCCGCCCACTCCCTGCCCCCTGCGCGCCAGAGGGCAGGTCTCAGCAAGGCAGAGGCGGCCTGAGGGGTGGGGCGCCCATGTCTCTGAAGATGCCTCCAGCACGCTGCATGGGAGCTGGGCACGCGGAAGCCCTCCTGGCGTCACTGCTGTTCACCCCCACGGTGTCCCACTGCTCGTGTGTGGGTCCCCTTGTCCTAGTCCCGCTAGGTGTGGGGCCCCGGGGGTGTCTGGAGCTGTGGACTTGGGCGACTCTGTCCCCATCCCTGCCGTCTGGGTCTAGCTTCCTCTCTGGGCGCCCCCACCGGGCCAGGAGGGCGGAGCTGGCGAGTCGGCGAGAACGCGCTTTCCAGGCGCGCAGCGGTTACCATGGCAGCACCGGCGCGGAGTGTAGACCGCAGGGCCCAGGGCGGAGGCTGCCCAAGCCCTGGGGTGACCGAATCCCCGTGGGGACTCGTCATGCCGTGCCGTCGCCTCCGTTGCTCTCTCACTGGGGGCACCCTGCCTGCCGAACCCGCACAGAGGTGGCCCCTTCCTCTCGTGCCTTTCTCCCGCCCTCTGAGCGGGGTGCTCTGTCCGCCCCTCCCCGGCTCCAGGCCGACCTTGGCGTCTCCAGGAAACGCCGGAGCGCCCAGCCCATCGCCATGGCAACGCGTGCCGGCCGGCTGCTCTTCAGGGATGATTGACGTAGGGGGTCCGGCCCGGGCCAACCGCCAGGGAGGGCGCGCCGCCCGGGATTAACTCCTCGGAGCCTAGAATTGGGAAGCTGTGGGGCGCAGGGGCCGGGGGGAGGCTGCGGTGGAGCCTCTGCGACCAGGAAACGCTCAGGCACCCGCTGTGGCCCGAGAGAACCCCCTCCCTGTGGGGTGGACAGACACAGGCCTCAGAGGTGCCCCCTGCCCACCCTCCGGGAGTGGACCAGAGGGGCCGCCTGGGAGCGCAGCTGCTCCAGGCCATTGTGTTTGCGGGAGGGGGTGGGGTGGGGGCCCAGAGGGGACCTGGCAGTTTGTAACTGAGAAAGTGGCACAGGAGTGGGGCCCTAGGGCACGAGGGCTTTCGAAGGATTTGTTCTGGGCCTTGGGAGTGCTCTCCGTCATGGTGAGCTTAGGGGGCTCCTTCCTCCACCCCCTCCCCCAGCTTAGGACCCTGGCGGGAGGCTTGAGGCTAACCTCAGAGAAGAGGCCAGCCCGCAGCCCTACACGGGGAGGGAGGATTTCTCCTGGGGCTCTGCTCTAGGCAGGGGACCCCTCTCAGCAGTCCCTGAGGACAGGAAACGCAGTGTGACTGCAGGCAGAGTGCTCAACTTCTCTGAGCCCAAGTGGCATCAGTTAATGCCACAAACACCTGAGCGTCCCGATGTGCTGGCTTGGGCCAACCCCAGAGAGAGCCCCTCTCCTTGTTTCTGGGGGTTGGGGTTTGGCCTGGACCATACAGACAGAGGCTGGGAGAGAAGTTCTCCCCTCCCTGTCCCCAGAGGTGTCCCTTTGCCCTCATAGACCGGGCCGCCCTCCCCACCTCACATCCCCCTTCCCCCCTTCCCCCTGCCAGACCCTATAGGCCCCATAGCAGACAGGTCTACAACTTGGTCCCCAACCAGGCCTGGGCTGCCACCAGAATTTCTGGCAGATACAGGAAGCCCCCTCTAGCACCGTGTCTTCTCCCCTTCTCCATCTGAGAGAGGCTGGGGGAAGGGAACCCCACCCCAGAATCCTGCTTTTCCCCCTCCCTCCTGGACGATGGGCAGGGTGGGGTGGGGCAGGGGTCCACAGCTGCTCTAAGGTAAAGCCTTCAGGGAGGCTCTTGAAACTGCCGGTATATTTGTGTGTATGTTTATTTGGGGTGTCCTGGGTAGAGCTGGGGACCTAGCTGAGCTGTCCTGCCAGCCAGGACGATGCAGGGCCCGTTGGGATGGGTCTGGAGTCGGGGGCAGGTCTGTGTGAGATGGGGGCAGCACTGGATCCTGGGTCCTACAGGGTCTTCAGACCCACAGATCCTCAGGCAACAACCCCAGTGTGCTCACTGACCAATGCCAGCTGGCTGTCCCATGGGGCCAGCCACCTGCAGAGAGGAGGGGGCACACCCCAGGTAGGAAGTGTCTAAGTGCCCTGACCTGGCCCTCTCGGTTTCCCGCAACCCTACAGAGCGCTGCAGCTGCCCCCAGCCCTGTGATGGGTAGTATGGCCCCAGGTGACACAATGGCCGCAGGCCCCATGGCAGCTGGCTTCTTCCAGGTATGGCCCAGGCTGGAGTCCCCTGGCCCGCAACTCTGGGTGAACATGCGTCTGAGGATGAGGGTCCCACGTGGGCAGAGGTCATGAGGCCGGCAGGCTGGAGATGGGTGGGAGGGTCCTCTGTGTCGCAGGTGTGCCCAGGTGGGCCTTTCAGGGGCCAGCGAGGGAGGGCCCGAGTGCAGTGGAGGGTGGGTGTCTGCACGCTTGGCCTGTACATGCATGTGCACAGGGTGCTTGGGGATGCAGTGGCCACAGTGGTCCTGGTGACCACTGGTGCCTGAGTCCTGCCCTCAAGCCTTCCCACAGGGTCCCTGTCCCATAGGCTGGCCCACCCCTCTGCCTCCATGGAGCCCCTCCCCTCCTCAGCCAAACCCAGTAGGACCTCATTCCCCCCAACCCACCTGGTTCTGTCCTCCTAGGGCCCCTCGGGCTCCCAGCCATCCCCCCACAACCCCAACGCCCCCATGATGGGGCCTCCCGGTCAGGTAAGGAGCTGTGGTGCCTGCCCCTAACACACACACATCCCCTCCCCCAGTGCCACCCCCTCCTGCCCCCAAGCCATGATGTCCTGGCCGGCTGGCACCGCCAGGCTTTGCTGACTGGTTCTGGAGGAGGGGGCTCCCCAGGTCGGGGGTCCCCCAGCATAGCAGGAATGGGGTAGCTTTGGGAGCCAGAGGGTGGGGGGAGGTGCTGATCCCTACCCACCTCTTCCAGCCCTTCATGTCACCGCGCTTCCCAGGGGGCCCCCGGCCCGCCCTGCGGATGCCAAGTCAGGTGAGAAAGGGATGATGGGAGGGGGGCAAGAGCTGGGCCGGGGAGAGAGCACCCCACACTCAGTGCCGCCGCATCCCCTCTGCAGCCCCCCGCAGGCCTCCCCGGCTCCCAGCCCCTCCTCCCTGGTGCCATGGAGCCCTCCGCAAGAGCCCAGGGTGAGTAGGGAAGCTCCAGCCCCTATCCCCCCATCAATCAGAATTCCAGCTCTCAGAGCCCTGACCTTGCTGCCTCCCTGCTGTCCACACTGGGTAATGGTCCAGGTCCGAGTCCCCTTCCTTCTGCCCCACCCCAGGGCATCCAAGCATGGGCGGCCCAATGCAGAGGGTGACGCCTCCTCGGGGCATGGCCAGCGTGGGGCCCCAGGTAAGAGTGGAGCCCTGGTGGGTGGGGCTTTCGGGCTGTCCCCGGTCTGCCCCTCACAGCCCCTTTGCCTCCGCAGAGCTATGGAGGTGGCATGCGGCCCCCACCCAACTCCCTTACTGGCCCAGGCCTGCCTGCCATGAACATGTAAGACCCTCGGGGACCCCCGGAGTGTGCAGTTCACAGGCCACCACTAGCTTCATGGCTGGGTCAGCTGGGGCAGGCCCTGAATCCTCAGGACAGTCTTGGATATTGTTTATTTCATGGCCACTGAGGGGAGACAGGCCTGAAGTAGCAGTTAGTCCCCCGGGGCCAGTGATGGGTTGAGATTGGAACCTGGCCGCTCGCGGTGGCCACTTTTCCAGCAACATCTGCTCTGTGGCCTGTCTGGGGACACAGTGGAGCAGGGTGTGGGGGGTGCGTGGTGGGGGCTGTGATCCACATGGACTAGCCCCGGAGTCTGTCACCCACCGTCTCTTCCAGGGGCCCAGGAGTTCGTGGCCCGTGGGCCAGCCCCAGTGGAAACTCGGTGAGCCTAAGGCTGGGTGGGCAGGCCTGGGGTGGGGTGGGAGGGGCACTGGGCGAGCCGCCTGGCTGACTGCTCACAGCTGCCCCTGTCCCCAGATCCCCTACTCCTCCTCATCCCCCGGCAGCTACACGGTACGTCTGAGCAAGGCTGGGCCACCCCTGGGCAAGGGCTGTGGGATGGCAGATGAGGGACCATTTCTCACGGTTCCTGTCTCCTGTGTGCAGGGACCCCCAGGAGGAGGTGGGCCCCCTGGAACACCCATCATGCCTAGCCCTGGAGGTATGGCCTAGGCAGAGGCGGGGTGTGCTAGGGTGGGTGTGGTTGGGGGAAACCCCGTCACACCTGGCACCCTTCCTGTCCCCTGATCTCCCCCAGATTCCACTAACTCCAGCGAAAACATGTACACTATCATGAACCCCATCGGGCCGGGCGCTGGCAGGGCTAATGTGAGTGGGGGCTTGCGGGGGTGCTTCTCGAGGCGGTGACCCCACTGAGGGAATGGGTGGCCCGAGACCCACGCTGTCCTCATGCCTGCAGTTCCCGCTCGGCCCTGGCCCGGAGGGCCCCATGGCCGCCATGAGCGCGATGGAGCCTCACCATGTGAACGGATCCCTGGGTGAGTGGGCGTCCCTGCTCCTGCCCACGCTGCCTTCCTGCCTTCCGGGCCCGTGCGCTCCCTGGCTGCCTCCCCTCGCCAGTCAGCCCGCCTGTCAGGTGGAGGTGTCTAGTGGCGCCCTGAGTCCCCCGGGGACCACTCAGTGACAGGGTCTGCCCCCACCTGGAGCGAGATCCAGCGACCAAACCAGGGGATGCACTGACCGCCCCTCCCCCCAGGCCCAACCCTCCACCTGGCCTCAGTCCCGGGGTTCCTGGCCGGCTGTGCGGGGTGGGGGCGCGGCGGCGGAGGAAGCTCGCGAGGGTCTTCGGCCCCTGGAGGCTGGGGGACCTGGCGTCCTGGCGTCAGCACGTCTGAGCCGGTACCCGTGTCTGTCGGTCCGCAGGCTCGGGCGACATGGACGGGTTGCCGAAGGTAAGGGGGCTGCGCTCCTGCGGAGGCGGGGGACCCGGGAAGGGGTGGGAGCGGGGGGCGGGGCAGGGAGTTCCGCGCTGACCGCGGCCACCCCCAGAGCTCTCCCGGCGCCGTGGCCGGCCTGAGCAACGCCCCGGGCACCCCGCGGGACGACGGCGAGATGGCGGCCGCCGGGACCTTCCTGCACCCGTTCCCGAGCGAAAGCGTAAGCGACTGCGTCGACTCCCCCCCCGCGGCGGCGTCGGGCCGGAGGGGCCTGGCGGGCAGGCCCCGGCGGGGCGGCCGGGGGGCCAGAGCAAGACCGTGACCGCGGCGGGCCAGGTGGGGGGGCGGCCGCGGCATACTTCCCCTCTCCCTAACCTCTCCTCACACCCCACCACCTCCCACTCCTGTTTCACCGTCCCGATGCCATCCGCCCCCACCCCGGGACCCGCGCCCCAGGGCGGCCTCCCCACGCATCGCCCCTCCCCCGTTCCCTCCTATCCCCAACCCGTCTGCCCAGGACCCAGCCCTGCCCTGTCCCCCATTGTCCCTGGGGGCGGGTCTCAGCCTCTTCCGAAGCTAAACTCGGCCCCTGCGCGCTGCCCCCTCCTCTCTCCGCAGTACTCGCCAGGGATGACCATGAGCGTGTGATGGGGCGGCAGCCCCGGGCCTCTGCGGGCCTAGGCTTCTGCCCAGCACCCCTGCTCAGGGCGAGGGGCTGAGGTCACACCTCGGGCACCTGGACTCCTGGCCAATCAAGGCTTGCCCAGCTGGGAGGCCCCACATGAAAGACTTACCATTTTATTAAAAACGCAAGGACCTCAGAGACGTTCTTTTCTGTATGGACCCTTCCTGCCATTTGTATTTTGTCCCAGAGGGCTCTTTGGGGGGCCCCTCTCCCCAGGACGTCAGGGGGTAGGGCCCATCAATAAATGGAAGCTGGTTTTGGTTTTTGGTAGCTTGTCTCAGATTCCCTTTTTGGCCTTCGGCCACCACACCCTCCACCCTGTGGTCTGATGTTCCCCCACGCCCCTATCTAGCCCCACCTTTGAGAACTGGGGGCAGAGCGAGGCTCCAGGTTCTGGGCTCTCCCTGGGAGTTGGGGTGATGACCATGGGCAGAGGGAGTGGGACTGAAGCTGGGTGCTCAGAGTCAAAGTAGAGGGAGGCAGAGTCAGGTCACAGGCCCCAAGAACCCCGGGTGGAAGGAGGGCTAAGAGTGGCAGCGCCTTTATTGTCTTTCTGGGGGCCTAGCAAGGTGGGGTCTTGGGGGGCAGCGGGGAGGAACAGCTGGGAAGCTGTGTGACCAGGGCCTCAGGTGGTGGGCATCTGGGGTTCCTCCACTTGCGGATGCCCGTTGGCATCACCAGTGCAGCCGTTGGTGGCAGCGGGTACCGGTCCTTTCTTGTTCAACACAGGGCAGGCAGCAGCCACAGGTCCGACTCGCTTGAGGACGGGCCCTGGGCGCTCCATCTTATGCTCCAGTAGCATGTGGTTCTGTGGCGGGAGCCCCACGCAGGCCCTGGAGAGGCCGTACAGCTTAGCAGAGCCAGACACCGCCTATAGTCCCCCAAGCCCTGTGCATAGTTTAGCCAGGGGGTATCTGGGCCCTGAATGGGGAACCTGGAGGCTGGGGCGCACCTGAGGATGTTCTCGATGCAGCTGCGCTGGCGGAAAAGCGCATTGACCACCGGGCTGCCCGGTGGCACCAGTGGCGCCTTGAAGAGGAAGCTGAGCAGGGACAGCACGGGGTGGAAGGTCTGTGGCTCGGGGTCAGCGTCAGTGCAGAAACTCACACGCTGGCACAGTTCGGTCAGTAGCGCGAGGTCCAGCATGATGGGTGCGGCCAGCAGCGAGTCCTGCGGGACGGGTGGGTCAGGAGGTGGGGGTGGTGGCCAAGCCCCGCCTCCCACAGCAGCCCCTGAAGCCGCACTGCACCTCGCATGTGTTGTGCAGCACCAGTGTGTTGGTTCCGCCCAGCATCAGCTCCGAGGTATACTCATCCAGCGCGCGCTTGCTGTCGCCCACGTACGGCACATACTTGATGACCACCTGGAGTGCAGCATCAGTTTGCCCGGGTTCCCACCACCCCTCACTGGGCAACCCAGCGCCCGCGCCCGCGCCCCACGCACGCAGTGGTCAGGCTCCTCGCCGGGCGCATAGAGCACTGGGTTGCTCTGCACCATGTCGTCCACCACGTTGCTTTTGGACACCTCCTTAGAGCGGAACTGCAATGGCGCCGACAGGTTCTCCCCATCGTTGTTGCCCAGGTGGTTGTAACTCACGATGGACATGGTCTGTGGGTACAAGGGACGCCCCAGCAGCTGCAGGCCCTGTGGCCCCACAAGCCAGGTGCTCGTGGCCCAGGCCCCCTTCCTGCACTCAGCAGCCCCCTAGGCCCACGCACCTTGAGGCCGGAGCCAATGAGGAAGTCCACGAGCACGGACTTGACTTTGGTCTGGCCTGACTTGAAGTCATCTCCACCCACAAAAACCCGGCGCTGCCACGCGAGCTCAAGGGCTCCGGGCACCAGGGTGTTCTGCGGGGACCCATTGAGGAAGGCACAGCCCTCTAGGATGCTGGCCACGGCGAAGAGCGTGGAGGGCGACACCTCCAGACCAAGCTGTGGGCAAGGTGGGCAGTCAGCACAGAGCTGTGTTTGGGACTGGCCCTGCCTGACCCACTCCACCCGGGCGTGCGCCCACCTCAATGGTGCGTAGTAGGTTCTCGGCTGTGTCGTTGAGGCCTGGAATCACCTCACAGAAGCGCTCTGTGTTCGCCGTCCACAGCACGATGATTTTGTCCAGCCCCGCGCTAGACCGGAAGTCTCGGATGTCCCTGCGGATCTGCTCCAACTGTGGGGAGGATGAAGAGGGTGTGGGGAGGATGGAGCGGGTGTATATGCTCTCGGACTCAAGAGGCCTGGGTCACTCAGTTCCCCGAGTGTCAAATGGGGCCTGGACTCGCGGGGTGGGGCAAAAAGGGGGAACCAAGTGGACAGGTGGCAGGGAACAAGGGATGCAGGATGGGACAGCACCTGCTGCGCGCGCGAGCCCGGGATGAGGTTGTCCGCGCGCGCGCTCTGGTTGGCCGCGATGAACTCGGGGATGTAAACAGAAGGCCGGGGCCGCAGGGCCTCCATGTGCGGCCACAGTTGCTCCTGCAGCCCCCAATCCAGCACCTTCGCGCGCCGCATCGCCTCAGCCAGGTTCAGCGACGAGATGTCCCAGCCTGGGGGGATCCTCACACTCGGCCCTGCCCGGATCCTGGGCCCCTCCAGACCCAATCTCCCATCCCGCCCCACCCCGGCCCAGGGCTCCGCCCACCATCGAACACGAGGTCGTTGGGCGCCACCATGGGCAGCAGCGCGCTGAAGGGCACGAACACCTCCTGGCCCTCGGCGTCCAGGCCCAGGCTCACGGTGCCTGCCTGAGTCAGCGAGCCGTAGTAGTTGGCCTCCTGGGGGGGCAGCAGACACGGAGAGGTGACGGGGGGGCGTGGCGAAGGGGCCGCGACCCGGCCTGGGCCCCGCCTAGACTCTCAAGCCCCGCCCCACTTTCGGGCGTTTTTCAGTTCCGGGCTCCCAGCCAGGACGGAAGCCGCTGCCCCCAGGCCCCTCCCCGAGACCTCCGGCACCTTAAGCTCCGCCCCTGTAAGACTCCCGAGGAGCCCCCGCTACCTCGCGAAACCCCTCCCCGGGGTCCGCCTGCAGCCAGGCCCCGCCCCCTGCAAGCCCTCCCGCCCCTCAGAGCCTCGCCCCCTGCAGGTCTCTAGCCCACTGCAGGCCTCCAGCCCCGGGAAGGTCTCTCGACCCTGCAGTCCCCCGCCCCGCAGAACCCCGCCCCCTAGGGCCCCCCGGTCCCGCAGAGCCCCGCCCCCTGCAGACTCCCGCCCCCGCCCTCAAGGACTCCCACCAAGCCTCCCAGCCCACCACGCCCCTCCCGCCCCCACCTTGCGGCCGCTGCGCGTGGGCCAGGACAGACGCAGCCGGTTGGCCAGCACCGCGGCAGTGAGTGTGGAGCCGTTGTTCCCGCCCCAGCCGACAAGCATGACCCCAAGCCGGGGCACCTGCCGGGCGGTCCGGAAGGTGAAGCGCGTGGACGTGGGGTGCACCTGAAGACAGGCCGCGCAGTGAACCCCGGGTCCCATGCCCTTCTCCCCGCGCCGCCCCGCTCTCCCTAGCATGCCCTCTTCCCCAACCCCCTGGTCCACCTTGAGGACGCCGCCCTCGCGGCTGACGCGCGTCGTCCGGTACTCGTATTGCGCCTCGATGGCCTCGGGGCCGTAGACCACGTCCGGGCTCTCGACGAAGAACTGGGCGGCGGCCTCCATCGTGGCGGGCTGGAGTCCAAGGGTGAGCAGGGGGGTCAGCGGGGACTCTAAGTGGCCGGGCCAAGCCAGCCTGGGTGCCCAGGGAGGCCATCCCCGCCCCGAACCGCACTCACCGGCGCAGAGTCGACTCAGGCAGCGGTGGCTAACAGCGCGGGCTCTCGGGCGCGCGACCTCCGGAGAAAAGCGCTGCGGCCCCGCCCCCGCCCCGCCCCCTTCCCCGCCTCTCCCGCGCTGGGGGGGAGGGGCCCAATGTCTGGAGACCCGGTTCGAGGCCCGACAACGCAGAGCCATCGTGGCCATCGGGTCCTCGTCTGGCGGAAGTGGCCGGGCGTCCACGAGCGCGGCGCGTATAGGTTCACCTCGCTCGCTCCGCAGCCCCCAGGGGCGCATGGCTGCCTATTCCCCCTTTACAAGAGGACAATGAGGCACGAGCCCAGCCATAAGCCATGGAGTGGAGCTGGGCAGGGAATCTGGACCTCTGGTGGGGGGGGGTAGGAGTTCTGGGTCAGAGACACTGCAGGGGAAACAGGCAGAGGACCAGAACTTCAAAGCCAGAATCTCCTCGGAGCCACGCTGCCACCTACTCCCCCTTCGTGGGCAGCAGCACCTACCAGGCAGTCCCATCCCCTGGCTCCCCATGTCCGCTCCCATCCATCTCAGAGGGGACAAAGTTACTCTGTCCCCACGGGGCTCACAAGGATGGGGCCTGTTTGGCCTGTTTCCCCACCTGCAGCAGGGCTTGGCAGGGGTGGACCGGAGGGGGAGGTTGTTCGCTGGGAAGGGGAGGGGACGCACAGGCGGGCAGGGCCCAGGCAGGGGAGGAATGAGGCCTGCACAGCAGGGCGCCCCCCTCATGCTTGCTGATAAGAGAGCGTGGGAACCCAGCGGGCAGGCCGGGGCAGCTCCCCCAGGAACTTTCCAAAACAAGCGCCTGGAGGCCGGAAAGTTTCCACCACTGGAACTGGCCCAAAAGGTGGATAGTTGGGAACATTTGCAAGAGACAGGGCCTGACCTTGGAGGATGAGGGCTTAAGACTCTGGGTCCAGGCCTCACCCTGAAGGGGCCCCAGTCTGAGGGAGTTGGAAGTGGACTGGGACACCCCTGTCCCCAGTGGGTGAGAACTCACAGGCAGGGCCCCTGAAAGACAGGCTCCCCAGATGAGGGGGCTGCTGGCAAGGGTTTTGAGACGTGAAGAGGAGTTCACTGAAAGAAGACTACAGGCTAAGCCACCTGAGCCACCCAGGCAGGGCAGATGAAAAATTGGCTACGTGGGAGGCAGTTTGGGGTCTTGGGCAGACGCTGAGGGCTGGGATAGGGAGTGTGAAAGAGTATTTGGTTGTTCCTGGTTCTTGGTTAGACATTGAGCTCAATCACCAGTGGCCAATGATTTAATCAATCACATATATGCAAATGAGATGGGGCTCAGAAAACAGAACCTCCCCCCGCCGCCCCCGCCACCCTCAAGGCCTTGGCCCTGAGCAGGGCATCGGAAAGCTCAGAATCGAGTCTTTCTGACCTTCTCCTGCCCTCCTACCTCTAGCCCCTTTCTCCTCTAGAAACCATAGAAACCAGAATTCCTCTTCCCCAAGGCAGGTCAGAGAAACTGTTGCCTTTCTCCCCTAAAAAAAAGAAAAAAAAAGCCACAAAGCCGGCAAAGGTCACTCTGCCTGCTCCCTTGAAGACCGTCATTCCAGGAGGGTCCTGCCCATACCCTGGAGGAAGGAATGCTACCCAGAACCCAGGAGGTCTGGGCAGGCTGGCCCCTCTCCCCCACCCAGTCTGCTCCCTTTAAGATCTACAAAGTGTTTCCTCACACTGATACACATTCTTCATAGAACCTAAGCCAAAACATAGGCAGTCGGCCAGGCACGGTGGCTCATGCCTGTAATCCTAGCACTTTGGGAGGCCAAAGAGGACGGATCACTTGAGCCCAGGAGTTTGAGACCAGCCTGGGCAACACGGGGAAACACCATCTCAATACAAACAACAAAGAAAAGTAGCCTGGCTTGGCGCATGCCTGTAGTCCCAGCTGTGTGGGAGGCTGAGGTGGGAGGATCACCTGAGCTCAGGGGGTGTGGGTTGCAGTGAGCCGTGATTGTACCACTGCACTCCAGCCTGGTCAACAGAGTAAGACCCTGTCTCAAAAAAAAAAAATAAAAAATAAAATAAAATAATAATAATAATGGGGTTTAGGGGACAATATGGAGGCGCTGGGAGGGTGGCACGCCTGGAAAAGGCATGGAAGCCTCATGGCCCGCCCCATACCTTGCCCTGTGCGCCTCCTCCATTTAACTGTGAGCATTTTCTGGAGTTCTGTGAGCTGTTCTAGCAAATTATCAAACCTGAAGTGGGGGTGGTGGGAACTCCCAATTTATTAGCCTGCTTGCCAGAAGTATGGGTGGCATCTGACATGGGTGCAGCCCTGTGGGACTGACCCCCATAACTTGTGGAGTCCGATACCATTTCTGGGAATGGAACTGTTGGACATCCTGTAGGTATTGGAGGATCAGAGAATCGGGGAATCTTGTGCCTCGAGGAAACAGGCAATTCAGGAACCTGTGTAGTTGAGAGACATGAGGAAGGAAGGTCCCAAGAGCCAGCCCCGGGGAGCCCCTGTGTTCACAGGGCCACCTGTCGGGGGTGCTGGAGGATGGGAGCTGGCATGGGGCAGCTGGAGGGATTCGGCATAGAGGCTGGGCTGCTTCCACTCCCAGCAGTTGACAAGGCTGAGGGAGGGGATTTGGCCCCTCCAGTCAGGCCTGGCTGTGCTGAAGTGGGTGGTGAGATGCACTGCCATCCCCCAGCAAACTGGGCTCCCTGAAGGCAGGGATGAGGCTCTCTCAGTCACTGCTGTGTTGCAGAGCCCAGGTGGAGCTTGGTACAGGAGGGGGCTGCAGGAACAGGGGTGCCAGTGGAAAGAGGACAATTGGGGCCCCTGGCAGGTGGCAGGAGAGGGGTTAGCAGGCCTGAGCCCCTCTCCACCATGATGCCCAGGTCATGAGGGTTGGAAGGCTCTCCTGGATACCCGGGGCACTGGACTGATGGCATCCATGGCTGAGGAAGATCAAGAGACTGACTGTGGCCTCTGTGGGCTGTGGGGGTGATGGCCAGAGTATTGCTGGGCTGTTGGCTCAGGGCTGGTGCTGAAGGGCCAGGGGAGGCAGGACCGTGGGCTGGAGGAGGTTGATGTTGGCCCTGGGATGTGGGGACAGAGATGTTATCCTGGGAGAACAGCATGGCCAGGCTATGCTGGGAGCAGGGTACATGCTGCCCCGCTGGGTTGCATGACTTCCCCTCCCGCGCCCCTCAGACTCCTGGGTGGCCTTAGAACATAGGCCAAGGCCGCGGACCGGCAGGGAGACCAGGCCCCACAGCTGCAGGCCCAGGACCTTTGCCCATGGTCCTATTCTTCCGTGTTATCTCTTTTTTTTTTTTTTTTTTGAGACGGAGTCTCGCTCTGTCGCCCAGGCTGGAGTGCAGTGGCCGGATCTCAGCTCACAACAAGCTCCGCCTCCCGGGTTCACGCTATTCTCCCGCCTCAGCCTCCCGAGTAACTGGGACTACAGGCGCCCGCCACCTCGCCCGGCTAGTTTTTTGTATTTTTTAGTAGAGACAGGGTTTCACCGTGTTAGCCAGGATGGTCTCGATCTCCTGACCTCGTGATCCACCCGTCTCGGCCTCCCAAAGTGCTGGGATTACAGGCTTGAGCCACCGCGCCCGGCCTGTGTTATCTCTTATTAAATGCACCCCCTCTTGCCCTTGGCCGGCAGGATGAGCATTATGTTCTCCATGCACCGCCGCCGCTCCCACCAGGTCTTTTTTTTTTTTTTTTTTTGAGAGGGAGTCTCGCTCTGTAGCCCAGGCTGGAGTGCAGTGGCCGGATCTCAGCTCACTGCAAGCTCCGCCTCCCGGGTTCACGCCATTCTCCGGCCTCAGCCTCCCGAGTAGCTGGGACTACAGGCGCTGCCACCTCGCCCGGCTATTTTTTTTTGTATTTCTTAGTAGAGACGGGGTTTCACCGTGTTAGCCAGGATGGTCTCGATCTCCTGACCTCGTGATCCGCCCATCTCGGCCTCCCAAAGTGCTGGGATTACAGGCTTGAGCCACCGCGCCCGGCCCCCACCAGGTCTTATACCCATCCCCACTAGTGGCACAGGGGATGCCCCTGCCCCAGTGTGGAAAGAACAGGTAATAAAATATTACCGTTACCTGCTGCTGTTTTCATCAAAGGAAGACAGTCACATGTGGTTTCCCCCATCCCCAGCCCCTCTCCTGTAGCCTTTGATGCCACAGGGGGCCAAGGAATCCCAATGCTGGGTTAAGCCCACCCTACCAGAGGGTACTGCTCTGCTCATACACCCGCTATGGCTGCTCCCCCCCATCACCTACAGGGCCCTCTGATTTGGTCCTTTCTCGGGCAACGGCTCAGGTAGGCTGCAAACTTTGCCTTCTCATCTGGTCCCAGCCAGAGCCCCTGAACAACCCCTCCTCACTATGGCGGCTCCAGGCCACATCACCTCCCAATGCCAGCCCACCCCCAACCACTGGACAGGGACAGCCACCACAGAAACCAGGCTGTGATACAACCGCACACCACACACACACCCCAACACACACCACACCCCAACACACACCCCCAACACACACCACACCCTCACACCACACACACACCTACACACCCCAACACACACCACACCCTCACACCACACCCTCACACCACACCCCCACACACACCCAACACACACCACATACCCAACACACACCACACACCCACACACACCACACCCTCACACCACACCCTCACACCACACCCTCACACCACACCCACACACATCCAACACACACCACATACCCAACACACACCACACACCCACACACACCACACCCTCACACCACACCCTCACACCACACCCACACACATCCAACACACACCACATACCCAACACATACCACACCCCGACACCACACCCCACCACACCCCCAACACATACCACACCCCCACACACTGCCAACACACACCACACCCACACCACACCCCCAACACACACCACACACCCAACACACCAACACCACACACCCAAAACACATGCCTTCACACCACGCACACACCTACACACCCCAACACACACCACACCCTCACACCACACACACACCCCAACACACCCAACACACACCACACACCCACCACACCAACACCACACCCACCAAACCCACACCAACACACACCACACACCCACACACACCACCACACACACCACCCCACACTGCACACCCCAACATCACACCCACTCTCACACCACACACCCTCAACACACCACACCCACTCACAGCACACACCCACACCACACATCCCCAACACACACCACACATCCCCAACACACACCACACCCACATCCCAACACACACCCACCACACCCACACCACATACCACACCCCCACACCGCACACCCACACCCAACACACACACCCCACCTTCCACACACATCACACACCCACACACACCACACATCCCAACACACACACCAACACACCACACCCACACATCCCAATACACACCATACACCACCCCAACACACACCCCAACACACCACACACACATACCCCCACACCCAGATACACACCTATATCAACACGCTGCACACCCCAACACACACATCCCCACACCAC